ATGCCACGTGGGAGAAGGCCGTTTTCGAAAAGGGGTTTTCTGGCCGCTCTCAGTTTGGGGGCCAGAGTGGATTTGCCACAGACGTGGCGCGAAGGACGGCACCCGTTCCTCCGTTTGTTTTTCTCATGTTTCCTCTTGGCCTGCTGGATTGCTTCTTTCTCGCTGAGGAGCAGCAACGGTGCCAACCTGCGCCAGCGCTTGGAACGAAGAGGCCGATTTTTGCCTTCCTTTTCCACGCCGCCCAAATAACTTTCCAGAAAAGTTCCGCTTTCTTTCCGCCCCAGGAAAGTTAAACGGGGAGGGTTCGTTTGTCAGTATGTCCCCAGCGCACAGGACCGTCCTGAACAAACGGGCATTGTGGATGCCCTGAACGCTTGGAAGCCTTCGCAGCTAACAGAAGCTCTCGTGGATTTTTGTGTTCATTGGCTTGTTTCAGTTCGAAACCTTTCAGCCGCAAAGTCCTTTCTTTTGGGGGGGGGGTTCCGACACCGTGGATGTGAGACCTGGCCGCCTCCCCATCTCTTTGCAGTTAGAAACTACAAGCGTTAACGTAGCACGTTGGCCAGTAGCTGGCGTTTAGGCAAGGGCATCGTTAGTGGCCGAGGACTTTTAAAGGAGGGCCAAGACTGGTTTATGGGTGCCCGAGAAGCTGCTGGTGGATTTCTCCAGGGGCAGGGAGTTCCAAAGGCCAGGAGATTTGGGAGAGGCTGCCGAGAGGGAGAGGCTGCCAAGATCAAGACCCACCATTTTGAGCTGTGCCAAGAAATCAGTTGGAGTTCAGTTTAGTTTCATATTGGCACAATTGTTAATTGTCAGGGTGTGACTTCGGGTATCACATCTTTGGGATGGTTGGCCAGAGGCAGCGTCGTATTCAGTAGTACAGCCTATCTGGTGTCGCATCTGATGGTTTTAAAGCTGGCAAGTTTCAGGTTTTGATAATTACCCTAACCCTTGCAGAGCAGCCCTAGAAATTGGCAAGGCGGTAGGAATAACTTCCTCTGACGTTTTCTTCCTCCTCTTTTGGGACTGAGAGTCCACCAGCCTGTCGTCTCCAGAATCCCTCCTCATAAGGACTAGGAGCTTGTCTCCGAGGCAGGAGTGCCAGACGTTCTCAGGACAAGCCTCGTGTTAACCTGTGGTTTGCTCACCATTGTTTATGGAACGTTTCTGCAAGCGGTGAGTCGCCCTGGAGTCGGGCAGCACCAAATGGAATAAAATAAATAAATACCGTGGCGCCCTTGGTGCTCTCTGAGCTTGGTGGTTTGTGTGCAGACGTCCCATTACCCAACTAGATATCATCTTTGCTATCTATTGCAGTATCGAATAAATATTCTTCAATGAGATGGGTGGCTATTGATTTCAGGCTTTGCTTTGAACCATTGATTTTTTAAAAAAACACGACCCGAATATATAGCTTGCTGGGGAAAAAGGGGGTTTCTTACCCTCTTGGACTCTAAAATGAGATGAAAACCGAGCTTTCAGATATCCGGACCGGGAGCGGCTTTGAAATTTCACTTTCGGAGTTCACGTGGCGGCTTGCAAATTGGAGGTGCGGCTTTCCAGGCTTGGGGCAGGGAGGGGTGGTGAAACCCACAGAGACCCGCTGCTTTGGGGACCCCCTTTCAGCCGGGGAGTCTCGGGGTGGCCCTCGGCTTCTGCGTAAGTGGGGGAGTAAGGCTGAAAACCAAACTTGGTCATCGCCTGTGTCCTGAAAGCTTGGGGGTTCATAAAGAGGGGTTCACCCTTAAGAATGGGAGTTGCTCGAAGCCGGAGAGGTGACAGAACGCCTAGCCCCCATCGGCCGTGGCCAGGGGCATCCGGGCATCTGGAGGTCCCGCCGGGCTAGTGAATGAATCGGAGGATTGTATCGTTGGCACAATCATGCACTGTATAAGTTGTATTATTCATGCGATCCGTGCCGCTATGAATGGACTGTACTTACGATGCCGTTCGATTTGCCAAACCTTTGCAAGGTTGATGTCCCCCATCGATCAAAGTTTGCTTTTATTTCTTTGAATCCTCTGACGGGCTGAGCTCTGAATGAATCGGATGGGTGGCCCGATTTTTTAATTTTTTCTGTCTTCCCAGCGGCTTGAAACGGTGCTTAGGTTTGGCAGTAAAGAGTAGGGGGAATTTTGCATCTTAACGTGCCCCAAATGCCAGCTGGTCTTGGGGGTGTCCAACAAACCTTTAATTCCTTTTCAGGCTTGATTTTAAAAGCTACAAATGAAACCACTTAGCTGGAATATGCTATGGGGCAATGTTTCTTAACTTTGATAACTTGAAGATGTATGGACTTCAACTCCCAGAATTCCCCAGCCAGCCATGCTGGCTGGGGA